CTTATTTGAGAATAAAGTTTATAATGTGGCTGTATAATTATGTATCGAAATATAACTTTGTTATTCCCATCATATGAGAAGAATCATAAGGTGATACTGGTGATAGTAGGCCCAGGTTGATCACCTGAAAATATTCGGTAAAATTCTTGCCGAAAAATATAATATTTGCATATTTTTTTTCTAATACCGCATCTTTTGAAGTCTTGCAAATAGGCAAGTAGCAACGTTCACGAGGTACTGCAGTATTAAAATAGTGCTGGCGAGACTAAACTTAGCAAGTGGTAATTTACTTAGTAAATGCATACCTTTCGACCAGGATGAGACATTGTGCAATTGAGATAAGAGTAATTCGGTTATGTCCGTATATTTACAAGGAGGCGTCTTCAGAGCTTTGGCAATCAATATTTTGCATGGCAAGGATATAGGAAATGTGTATGCTAATCCTTGATCATTATCATCTTTATTGATTTACAAGGGGGATTAATGTAATAACGAATGCAGTGTGTAATTGCTAGTGAAGATCTGGATATTGCTTTCTCCTGGACATTACCTATACTATAAAAAGAACAGTATATTTTTCCAGAAAAGGAACCAATATGTCGAGCTCTGAACAAATTTAATAAGCTGAGTTCAGAATCACTCAAGACACCGAGAGAAAAAAACAAAACTCCGGAATCTTACAAACTGTCTCTTGTTAATCGTAGGAATCTTGCTTATAATATCTTGAAAAATCTCGAGGACGATATCATCAGGGATAAAGAAATTCCAGAGCTAGACCAATGTTCAAAATGCAATAATGAAATTTTAACACTCCTTCCGAAGGTGATTACTATCCTCAGCTGTGAACATCTATATCACAGGATATACATTGAGAAAAGCTTCTAATGATCATGCCGAATACATACCCATTCCTGATTATAGAAAGAATATTAATATCATAGAACCATTTCCTACAAATCAAAAGTCGCCATCATCCCAATTGGGTGAAATTTCAGCCTTATCCAACAGGATGAGTGAAAGCTTTATTCTATCTTCACCAATCTTACGGATGGTGAGGGTCGAGAATACAGGATTTCAAC